AGATTCGGCGCGAGCGTGCCAAGCTTGCTTCTCCCTCTCTCTACGTAAACTGCCCCCTCCCCTCTTCTCCTCCTCCTCCTCCTCCTCCTCCTTCTCCTCCTCGATTCGATCGATTTTTGGATGGGCGATCGAGCTTTGAAGTCTTCAGTGTTTTAATTGATTGTTCCTCGGGCCTCCCGGGGATCTCTCGTGGCCACGACCGGACCCACTGCTGCAGACTTGCCGAAAGTCTGGGCAGACAGAAAGCTCCTAAGGACGGGTCTGGAGAATGACATCTTCGGCGCCGCGCGGCTGTCGAATCGAGGGTCACGGTGTGCTCGCCTCCCTCGGGCTCACGCGGGTCTCTTGCAATTTGAGTGATCGAGGCTCGCATTCGGCGGGAGCTGAGGCCGTGGTGCCCGCTCGTTGGCCTCGAGCTGACATCGGCTTGCCGCCTTCGGAGTGTTGCCAACCTCTGATTTCCTATACAATGGGGGCGCGCATCGAGAAACCATCTTCGTTTCGTCAGGCTAACCTGGGTTTCTTCGCTCCGCGCGCTGCGCGGCGACCTCCCGCAGCCGTTGAAGGAGCTGCTGCGTTCAGGGTTCTGCGGGCTTCCCCTTGGGTGCACCTCGCGCGCGGGTTTTCAGGGTTGGGTTTCTTGCGAGGGTTCCTTGCGGCCGCGCCCGCACTGTACCCCGACCAATTTCAAGACGGAGGTTGTCTTCATTCGCCCGCCCTTGGGCTCGAGGGCGGCCAAACATGGCTTTGGGTGACACGCCGGTCGCCAGGAAGGGGTCGAGCGTCAGAAGCTTCAGGGGCCAACCAAGCAAGGAAGCAATTTTGAGATCTGGGACATCCTCGATCGGATGATTGGCCAATACCTGTCACTCGCCTTTTTGGCGACATGTCAGAGCGTCCCCCTGTGACGAGTACGGGGCGCCGACGTCATGGAGGAGGACCCAGGCTCTTGTCTGCCCCAGTGGTTTTTGTCGTTCCAGAGTTTTTTTTTTGGGGGCAATTTTCACTGATCCATTCGGGCCCCCGCTACTGTCGAACTACCACTCGGGATTAAACAATATCCCTTGATGGGGTCTGGCACTCCGTAGGTTGGCGACTCAACAACAGTTATCGTCGGTCCTTTTTCTCGTGCTCTTTCTGCTCCTGCTGATGCTCCCTCTCGGGAGAGAGTGCACGCACCACCACCAAACCTCCGCCGTCAGATCTTGGACCAGATCCTGATCTATGTCGCAGCTCATGAGGCGCAACGGTCTGGCTAAAAATGGTGCCTGTGAAGGCACTTGGCGGTGTTAGCTCATGAGGGGAACGTCGACACAGGCACCAATAAACGTAGATCTATATGGAAAGTCGAGGTGACGACGGATATGCAGAACATGTGGAAAAGTCTGGGACCCTCGGGATGTGTGTCTATTTCCTTTTTTCTCCGTGGGCCCCTTTTATCAGTGTCGGTGTACACTGCCCCTCTCCCCGCGGCTCCCCCGCCCCTTCGCCCCGCCCCTTCGCCCTTCAGTGAGGGTCAAGGACCCCCTCGAACGCCCCAGAAGCCGTCTCGAGCCACGGAGTTCTGAGAGCCCCCCGAACATACCAGCTTGAAAACATACCCCTATCCACGTTACCTCGGTGCCGATCTTAAGGATCCCCTCAGTTTCGGACACATCCCTAAGATGATCATCGCCCTGGGCTTGCTAATCTCGTGTGTCTGGATACCTTCGAGGCTCGCTACGAATCGCTCAACGATTCTCCCCGGCGCTGCTCCACCGCTGTGCTGGCGCGCGTCGGCGGAGCCCCGATCGTTGGGGTGATCGCCTCGCGCCCGCCCGCGACCAGCGGAGGCTGGAAGAGATGGAGCAGCGGCAGGGGCCGGGGGAGGGGCGGGGCGAGGAGCGGGCCAGGACGAGCAGCAATAGAACCAGGACGTTGGGCGCAGAGGACGAGGGGGGGGGGGGGCGAGCACGGATGGTGGGGTCTCGAGCGGACATTCGTATCCGAGCCCGTGGGTCACCGCTCATACGACAAGCGAGGATCACACAGCTAGAACGGTGAGGGGCCCGAGAGAGATCAGCTTTATCGTCGGCCCTCCGTCTGGTTCGAAGCTTTTGCGCAATGGAGGGGGGTATACGAAGGGACGCGTGAGAGAAAGAAGAGGATGAGGGCCAGGACAAGAGAAAACAAGACGACGAGAAGGAGCAGGAGGAATCGGAGCGGGTGGAGGAAAGTGAGAGCATAATGATAAGGAATCGTAGGAATGGCAGATGGTGGGGAATGTTGGATGATGAGGACTTTTAGGCGGAGGAGCAGGATCTGCAAATGTTTGGGAATGAGGGCGACAGCTCTGATTATGCCGATGATGATGTTGCTGGTGATGGTGATTACGATGCTGCCAATTACGATTTTTGTTCATGTTGACGATGATGATGCTGATGATGGTGATGATGATGATGGTGCTGACGACGATGATGATGATGATGATGCTGATAATGATGATGATAATGGTGATGATGATGATGATGATGCTGATGATGATGATGACACTACTGATGATGTTGCTGCTGCTGGAAATGATGATATAGGAGGTGATGATGTTTGTGGCGTTGGTGATGATGATCGTGATGATGGTGGTAGTGACGGTGCCTGTGGTTGTGGTGGTGATGCTGTTGTTGCGGTTGTTGTTGATGATGTGGACGATGACGGTGATGTTGATTGTGATGATGATTCTGATGTTGATGATGGTGATGTTGATGTTGATGGTGGTGGTGGATAAGGATACACAATGGCGAACGAGGCTAAAGACTGCGGGGGACATGTAAATTGATTGGGATATGGAGGAATCGGAGATTGAGGGTTAAGATCGCAGTGGAACGGAGAGCCTCACACCAGAAAGTCTGTTTCGATTTCGTGTTCGTGTCGTGCGTGCGGGCCAGGCGAAGCTGCGCTGGCGCGCGAGAGGAATGATGCCACCGTGGCTGGGGGCTGTGGAGCCGGTTGTCCGCCCCCATCCCCCGGCGCATGGTTGCTGAGGTTGTCCCGTCGGTGACGCGGGGGTGCCCCGTCGGTGGCGCGGAGTGCCCCGTCGGTGGCGCGGAGTGTCCCGACGGTGGCTCTGGGTGTGTCGCCGTAGTGTTTTGACGGTAGCTCGCCAGATCAGTTATGAGATCGACAGGGTAATCGATTGCGTGACCGATCGTGACCGTGAGATCGACCGTGAGATCGAGAGATCGATAGTGAGATCAATAGTGGGATCGTGGTGTGCCTCGACGACGGTGGCTCTGGGCGTCCCGCCGTGGTGTCTCGATGGTAGTTCATGAGATCAGTTGTGAGATCGATAGTGAGACCGCACATGATATCGTTTGCGTGATCGATCGTGATCGTGAGATCGAGAGATCGATAGTGAGATCGACAGTGATACCGGTAGTGAAAGTTGTGGTGAGATTTGTCGATTGGATTTGAATGTCATGTCGCATGTATGTGTGTGTGTGAGAGATCATCGCAGTTGTGTCGCCTTCATTTCAATCACCAGTATTCATTGTCACCATTAGCGTAATCTTGCAATGCTCCATCTCATCGTCTCACAGTCATCGAAGTTGTTGTCAGTGGGTTGTCCTTCCCCTCCAGCCTCCTTATCACCCGAAGGGTGGTCGTATAGGAATGAGCAGTAGGAGGAGCATACCGCTGCAAAGGAGGAGGAGGAGGTTGAGGAGGAAGGAGGAGGACGAGGTGTTTGCATCCTCTGTCCGTTTGCCCTACCCTCCTTCTTCCCCGCCCGTCCTGCTGCCGCCTCTTCTCCCCCTGTCCTCCTTCCCGGGCTGCCCCCTCCTCGTCCTGCCCTGCCCCGTCGTCGTCTGCAATGGCCCAGTCAACTGGAAGACTAGCCGTCTCCGTACCACGGCCTTGCAAATCTCAAGGCCGGGTGTCACCCGCGAACGGGTATTCCTCTAGGCGGAGATACGCCCCGCGGCTAGGGTAGCCGCTCTCTAACCTCGTGGCTCCCTACTTAGCTTTGGCTGGCTATGGCGACCATTAGATCTGCGTTCCTCCACCGTCGCACTCTGCCCATCCTCGCCCACCTCCCCCACTGCCCTTCCTCGCCCTACTCGTCGCCGTCGTCGTCGTACTGCTCCATCTCGCCGCCGTCCTTGTCGTCGTCGTCCTCGTTCTCGCTTGCCTCGTCGTCGTCCTTCTCCTCATCCTTGTTAAAGCCCTCTGTGCCGTCTGAGCTGTAACCTCGGATACGGACGTGCTGGGGAGCATCCCATGTTGTTCTTTGTGCATCGGGCAGTCTTTTTAGAAGCTGCCATACAACTCTCAATAGCAGTTGTTCTAGCCATTGTCGCTTCTCTTCGAACATCAGCTTGCAATGCTTGGTTCGCCTCTGCTCGCCTTTGCTGTGGCATTCAATGCCGTGTGATGAGGGCATTCCATCCCGTGTGATGAGTTGTGGGGCCCTGGACTTGTAACCACATACATGCACGCGAATCAAGTTTATACGAGCACCGCACTGGGATGACAGCCAACACGTTGTTGAAACAAGTTAGACGGAACCATTCGCATTAGGTTGTATCCGCCTGGCAAGGCTGCTAAACACCATGACGAACGCTCTGCAGAGAACAGGGCGACCTTCGCATCGTAGGGACGAACCTGCACGGCTGAACCCAGAGCCAGCCATGACTGCGGCACAGTAATGGATCAATTTGGGAGGTCGCGGTGGCGGAACGGCTCTAGTTAGGTGGATGTTTTCTTGCGGGCCATGACCCGTGCTGTAACCAAGCGGAAGAGTGTGATTCGCCAGTCGTTCATCCGAATTTGACCCTCCTAAGGCGTCTAACGTCGTCGTGGTCTTCCCCCTCCTTCTCCTACTGCATCCTCGCCCTTCTATTTCCTCCCCTCTTCACTCCCTCCTCTCACTCTTTCCTCCCTCACCCTTCTACTCACCGCCTTCCTGTTTCCCTTCCTGCTCTCTCCTCCCCTTTTCACAGCAAAAGACTTGCAGGGATCTCACCCAGGTGGACCTCGAGGACATCTGGGCCGGCGCCGTCTGCGGGATCCCGGTCCCGGAACACCTGGTCATCGCTAAGGAGCGGGGTCCGTCTTCGCGCCTCTTTTGGGTTTTGTGGCCAGAGAGGGGGGGTGTCCAGGCGGGGGGTGGAAGGAGGAGGGGAAGACGGCGCCGACGAGGAGGCGAGGAGATCGTATTTAGTTCTCTGCAGCGGATTTTCAGGTAGTCCTGGATGAGAATGAAGGAGAATGAGCTGAGAAGAGGAGGGCGACGACAAGGAGGAGAGCAGAAGGAGGACGAGAGGAAGGGGATAATGAGGGAGGAGGAGAAGCAGACGTAGGAGGAGAATGAAAATGATCTGGTGAGGGGGAGGAGAAAGGGGAACACGATGGTCAGGACAGGAGTAGGGAAGCAAGGAGGTGGCAGCAGGGCGACCTCATGATAATAGCAGGAGGGTGCGTGGGAGGCGAAGCGAAGACGACGACGACGACGGCGACGACGACGACGACGACGACGACGACGACGGCGGCGGCGGCGGCGGCGGCGACGACGACGACGACGGCGGCGGCAGCGAAGCGCAGGAGTGCGTCGCGGGCAGGCGCCGGGGGCCGCCAGGCGGGGCGCCGTCGAAGGCGTACGTGGGCCTGCTGAAGGAGGGAGCGCCCCGCCCCCCCCCGTGCGCCGGGGGCTCGAGGGCCTCGGGTTGGGCGGGTCGGGAGCGTCTGAGGGTGGTGGTGTCGGGGCGGGCGAAAGGGGGGGATTGGGAAAGGGGGGGTTACGAAATTTGCTGCATGCAGCTGGTTTCGGCCCCGCCGAGGGGCCCATTCCTCGATACATGGGCGCCTCCCGGCGCCGGGAGGCGCCGGGAAAATCAGCTACGTGAGCTGATTCTCACCCCCCCCTTTGCTATCCCCCCCTTTCGCCCGGCCCGATGGTGGTGGTGATGGCGGGAGATATCACGGCCGGGGCCATGATATCTCTGTCGGGGTTTCCTGGCCCCCGCATCGTCTTTCAGCATTCCCTGACCCCCCCGCGTCCGCGAACTTTTTGCTTGGCCGCCCCCCCCTGCTGGGGGGTGGGGGACGGGGAAAGGGTCGGGGGTCCCCAAAGGATGCGGTGGCCACACCGTCCGGTGAGTGAAACGCTAATTCGAGGTCTGCGGACCGGTTCGGGGCTCGGGTCGTTCTGCGAGGCTGTCTCGGGCGCCTGGAGCGCCCAGAGTCCCCAAGCCGTGCGGTGACTGACTGTGCGGTGAGGTCTTTGAGGATTTCGAGGTCACCGCACGGTCTGTCATCGCATTGTTTCGGGATCTCCTCGAATGGTGCGGGGTAGGAACGCTGCTGCAGCCGGCCTCAGCCCCGCCCCAGGTCGCCCTCCGCGATGTATTCGTTGGCGCCTCTGGCGCTGGGAAGCGCCGGAAAAGCTCTTGCTGCACCCAGCGGGTTCGCTACGCGCTTGCTATGTCCTCCCCCTTTTCTCAAGGGCAATTGCCAGAAGTGCCCTCTGGGCCACTGTGCCCCCAGCACCCCTCACGAGGCCCAGAGCACCCCTCACGAGGCCCAGAGGGCCCCAGGGGCTCCAAAATGGAGCGACAAGCTGGGGGCACCTTGGTCGGAAGCTGGGCGAGGGCTGGCAAATCCGTGGCTGCAAAAACGGCATTCCCAGAAGAACGAAAACATTTTCCCGGAAGAAAGCTCAGCGCACTAAGTAGTAACCAAGCTGCTTCCCGGAAGAAAAAAACAATTCCCGGAGCTCCGTTTTAGCAGCCACGGCTTTGCCAGCCTTCGCCCGGCTTCTGACTTGGGCCAGGGGTACTTCTGGCAACACCGGGAAGGATTGGGTGGGACAGGCTCGCGGGAGGATGGAACGACCCCCCATCGCACATTGATCCCCGGCATTGGCCCGCCGGCCCACCCGCTCAGGACCTCGCGGAGATTCTCTACCGGGGGCCTGCCACCAATCAATCGGAAGGGCATCGCCGACGCAGGCTCGACGAGTCCCCCCCTGGCCTTATGATGTTCCAGCCTACTTTGGCCTTGAACGCCAGAAAGAATTCTGAGCACCAAGAAAGTACCGAAGCTCGAGGGTTTTCACGTGTCGGGCCCTGGGAGACACTGTTCCGACATTCTTTCGACATTATTTCGACTTTTCCGGGTGCTCGAAATGATTTCTGGGATGTGGTCCTCAAGTCTGATGGGAGCAACAAGAGCCTGGCCCCCCTCCCCACGTTTCCCCTCAGGCGCGCGCGGGCGCACGCGCGCGCAGGAGGCGGCGAGGGGGCGGAACCGCAAGCTCCTGCAGAGCAGGCTGAGCCACCTCGCGGAGGCGGCCTCGGCGGCGGGGGCCATCTCCCACCGCCGTCGTCGTCGTCTTCGTCGTCGTCGTCGTCTCCATGCAAGGTTTGTTGGCCTCGGAGCGTCGTCGGGGCTTCCCATGGCTCGGTGCATCACACGGGATTCGGGGCCCTCTGGGGGGAGGGGCCTCTCGGAGGCCCTTCGGAGGCTCAGGGAGGGTTTAGGTTCTTCGGGGTCTTGGTTTTCTCAAAGGTTCTTTGGGACCCTGGGAGGTTTTTTGCACTTACCTGGAGGTGTGCGGAGGGTCACGTTTTCGGGGTTGGGTCTCTTGGTGGTTCCGGAAAGTTTTGGGTGTTGTTTAATGTACATGTTGTCCCTAATCATCCTGTGCTGCTGGGTCCTCGTTTTGGCGAGACAGTGCCCCGCGTCTCCCTCCCGCTGCCCCTGTCTCCATCCTCGCATCCTTACCTCTGCCCTTACCGCATGTCACACGTTTCGTGCGCACGTCGTTGCCCTACCGATCACGGCTCCAAATCTGGCTTCTGACTTTGGCGTGGCACCCGCGGAATCCACATCAGCTCGTCGACACAACTCCGGATTCCCCGACTCCAGCGCCAGTTCTTGTCTCTCCGACTTCGGCTCCTACCTCTCCGACTCAGGCTCCCCGCGCCCGTTTTCATCTCTCCGCCTTTCCGACTCCGGCTCCCACGCCCGTTTTCATCTCTCCCACTGCGGCTCCCACCTCTCCGACTCGGGCTCCCACGCCCGTTTCATTTCTCCGACTCCAGCTCCTACCTCTCCGACTCCGGCTTCTGTTTCTTCTGCTCCGGCTCCTATTCCGGCTCCCATTTCCTCAATTGGTGCACAGTTTTGTCGATATTATCTCGATTTTGGTCCCATTTCTACGAACGACTCCGGCTCCCGTTCCGAACTCCCCGACTCTCCAGCTTCGACCGGGCTCCAGTTTCTGAGCGGCCAGCCCATCCTTTATTGGCGCCCTGGCGCCCACCCGCTGCACCCACGTAGGTGCGTTCCGTGCGGGGCTGCCAGTCAGTCTGTCAGTCAGTCTTTCTGTCAGGGGCAGCTCCACCGAAGGCCCCAGTGACAGGGTCCACATGCGGCTCCCCGCCCACCGCATGTCCATGTCGGCACAAACACACCAACACGGTTCGTGGCCCCAGAGGGATTTCCACCGAAGGCCTCAGTGGCAGGGTCCAAATGCGGATTCCCGCCCACTGCATGTCCATTTCGGCACACCCCTCACACATTTCGCGGCCCCACAGGGAGCTCGCAGGGTCCACATGCGGCTCCCCGCTCCGCATGTCCATTCCGGCACATCTTTCTCACGTTTCGTGGCCCCATTGGCGGCCCCATAGGGAGCTTCCCCGCTTTCGTCTACGTGTCTTGCGCTATTCAGAATTGCATATGATTGGGTCTGTCGCCAGGCTAAGTCTCGTCTTCGTTGCCTTGGAGGCGTTCGTTGCCTTGTCTTTGAAAAGAATTCTCAGATCCTCGTGTGTCTTGAATCTTGATTCGGAGGTCTCGTTTTTGTTCTGGCCCCCGGGTGTTTTCCGCAGCGTTCGCGCCTCGTGCAGAGCTTTCTGGACGCGCCAACTCTGCACCGAACAGCCCCCTCGGGCCCAAGCTGTGGCGTAGTGGAAAGATCGGGATGGCAGTCTTTCTGTTCTGGGTCTCAAGCTGGGTGGCCATTTCACGCTCCGGGGCCTATAAGAGAACGATCCACGGCGCGAATATGTCGTTGTGAGTGTTGGGGTCGGGAGATCCGGCAGGAGATCCGGAGTCCCACGGGGTTTGTGACTGTGGCCGCAGGAAGGGATGGCAGGGGGGGGGGCGATCCAGTCACGCTGTCGCGAGCGTCCACTTCGCAGGGGGGTTGGGAAGCGTGCTCAGCACGAGCGCGCGGCCCTGTCGGCGACGCTGCGCCCGAGTGACGTGGGTGCCGCGCTTGCACTGCTGCGGCGGCGCGCCGAAGGGGAAGCGAGAGTGGGCGGGCCGTCTGAGAGGGCGGCGGAGCTGCTCAGAAGCCCCTGCACCTTTTGAGAACGTGTCTGCGCCTTCGGAGGCGGCTTCGAAGGCTTCTCAGGAGGCCGGAGGCTTTCTGAGCCCTCATAGACGACCCACCCTCTCTGCCTTTCCCCATGGGCGCGCCGCCGATTGCTTGGCCGCTGCCTCCCTGGAGACTCGCGGGCCACCTCGGGAGGAGCAGGAAGAAGAAGCATAACAATTCCAAGCAGACTAATTGCACTCAGTCTACGAATTTTCAACGGATGGTGATGACGATGATGTTGATGTTGAGGTTGATGTTGATGTTGATGATGATGATGATGATGATGATGATGATGATGATGATGATGATGATGATGATGATGGTGATGGTGATGATGACGATGACGATGACGATGACGATGACGATGACGGTGATGGTGATGATGCTGATGTTGTTCATGATGATGATGACGACGATGATGCTGATGCTGCTGCTGGACATGATAATGATGATGGTGTTGGTGGTGGTAGTGATGGTGATGATGATGATGCTGATGATGATGATGCTGATGCTGATGATGATGATGCTGATGCTGATGCTGATGATGATGCTGGTGCTGATAGTGATGGTGATGGTGATGGTGATGGTGATGGTGGTGGTGGTGGTGACGATGATGGTGATGGTGGTGGTGATGATGATGATGATGATGATGGTGATGGTGATCGTGATGGTGATAGTGATTGTTCTGGTGATGGTGCTGGTGATGCTGATGCTGATGGTGGTGGCGATGGTGATGGGTGTGATGATGACGACGACGTCAACTGTGATGATGCGACGGCTTCGCGTTTCCCCCAACAGTTCGCAAAGACGGCATTGCCGCGCTCCGCTCTGGCCCCTACTCCCTTCGGGGCCCCCCTCGTCAGCCGGACGCTTTTAGTTCGCTTCTGGCGCTTGCCACGCTCATGCAGCTGCCCTGGGTGAGGTGCTTAGCCCTGCTATCGGCAGTTTACTTGGCAATTCTATGCGTGCTGCCATTCCGTCCAGGCGTTCGATGTCGACCTTATCCATCGTATTCCTGGTTGGCAGCTTCAGGCGTGTGGCCGATCCGTTCAGGTTCTCGGTGTCGATCCCTTCCATCGTTTTCCTGGCTGGCTCTTCCTCTCGTTCTCGGAGAGGGGATTGCCCCGGATTTTCTCTCAGGAGTGAGTGTGCGACTTCGGTGGCGCCGCTCGTACTGGTTCCTGGTCAGTGACGTATGCCTGGCCATCGGTGTTAGTATTACCTCCTGGAGCGTATTGCAAGCGAACTGCCCCCCTCAGGGGCTGGGTGCATGGATGTCTCGTGTGGTT